GCTTCTGTTTACAACAGTGAGCGCAAGCTAGATTCAAGTGATTATTACGTTTTGAATATGGATATTTTTCTTACAAAAACGCATCGATTCGCTACAGGAGGCCTTTGTTCACCCCCCGGAGCCGTGTGAGACACTTTTTTTATGGATGGGCGCTTATTTCACTTCTTTTGGACGGATGCATGCAACACCCGCTGAGTGGCATTAAACAGCTTGAAAGATCAAAGACCATTTTTTATATAACTCCGACTGGATTCGTCTGAAAGAAGAAAGTCATATACACCCAGGATGACTTGAGGATGAGTAATTTATGGGCTAATTTTCATTTTTGGGTGAACTAACCCTTTAATAATGATTAGTAATGCAGCACACAATTAATGTTGGCATGAAATGGAAGTTGTGATCTTTTTTCCCTGTTGTGACGTATAAGTGAAATGTATTCTTGAACAAGAAAATATGTTTTTGAAGATTACAAGGGCGGGCGCATCAATTTTTTTTTAACTAATGACGTGCATGGATAAATCATTCAAATGTTAGTACATAGCAGCATCATTACCTGGCACTTTCCTCATAAACAATTACCTTCATGCCCTCCTCAATGTCATTTTCAAACACCTTCTTCGGTTTCTTTTTCTTCTTTTTCTGGTTAAAGAAGTTCAGATCATCCAAGTCATCCGAAGTCTCTGTGAAGATAGATGGGGATCAAACAGTGTCAAAGACAGCCAGAAGTACAATCCTAAAACAGCACTGTACACAAACTCCACACGTGCAATGACATTTTCAAGGTTGTGGTTTAAATACAATTGTTGAGAATCATTTGACTAAACCCGAGGCCCAGAGGTAAAAGAGAAGAGCAAAACACTTCACTGATGCTCATACTTGCATCTTCTCACCCTTTTTCTTTACTTCATCATCTTCAGGGTCCAGTTCTCGCTCCTCTGCTGCTTCCGGCTCAGGTTCTTTCTGTTCAGTCTGCTGAGCCTCCTCTCCTTCTCCATCCTCGTCGAGCATGAAGGGCTTCTTCTTCTTCTTCTTCTTCTTTGTTGTGGTGGGGTCGAATAAAATCTGAGGACACATAACGCACCAGGTTCATTTTTCTCAAACATTGCCTCACTGTGCTGAAGGAAATAATACTGAGCGCAACTCTTTTTACTACGTTACTCAAGCAACGCTGAGTGTTATTTATTAGTTTTTTAATTCTATACAAGCAGAAATAAGTCATGTAAAACACAGTTGTGAATGCAGCCTACAGCACGCTATAGGTGGCACACTGAAACTGCTCTCACAATCTAAGCCAAAAGTCACAACATGACCGAGTGTATTCGCTCAACTGTGAATAATAACAAAACATACAAATAGACCACCACAATACCTCGTCTTCTGACATGATGACTGAATCAAAGATCGCTGTTGCTCGTCCTGTCCGATATCGTCGACACGGTTAACACTACTGTTCTCATCCAGAGTCTTGCATCAGCTCGGCGCGCAAGAATGATTATCACAATGACGACATCATCGCGCGACTTTCCATGACAGTGGAGCGGCTGTGTTTAAAAACAGCGATTACGAGATTTATGTTCCGATTAGATTTATAGCAATAATTATTAGTTACTTTGCTTCTTCCAGACATGCATGTAGAACACCACGATTCCAGTCACGAATTGTTAATCAAATGAGCAAGAGTTTTTTAGAAGCAAACAGCCATGTGCTTTATTGAAAATCATTAATCCACCCAAACCCCTTAGTTACCAACATGAATGTAAAATAAAGAACAACAAAAGGGACTTGACAGCGAATACACAGGCAAGAAGAAAAGAGTGAAACGCACAGCTAGATGCAGTACAAACGCCATGCCTCACTCTATTCATAAACCAGTCAGCCATGAGGCATTTCAGTCATTTAAAGGCATGCCACTCAAGTTGCATCAGCATGCCATTCATTAAGGCACATAACACAGCACTATATGCTTTTGAGTGCAATAACGGGACAGAAGTTATTGTTTTATATAATTTTAACAACAACTAAGTTGGATACAGCAGAAAGTCTAACAACACCAGAGAAAAGGAATCCAAAAGTTTAATGATCTCTCAAATAAAAGATATCTGAATTTTTGTTTTGAACATTCAAATGTACACATATGCCACATAGGCCTCAACCTGAATAGATACAGCATTTTTGCATCTCAAAAAAGTATATGCTCCCATATGAGGGAAAAAAAAGTGGTATAGTTTATTTTCTATAATTACAACCATCTACTGTCAGATAAAACTTCAGCACATCAATGAATCAGGCCTGAAAAGAGCACAGTAGGAAATATCTGTTATTAATTAGTTAATTTTCTGCAACTATTTGGATGCACCGAATAAAACATGAATATATATATATATATATATACACAGTGGAGCTAACATTTATTTCAATTTGTTATTTGTTACCAAACCATTGTCACTGTCAACAAACTAAAAAAGTTGATGCCTTTATGGAAGTGCTTGAATAACATTAATCTAACAGAACACATTGAGATAAAAGATCGAAGCAAACAACAGTACCAAATATATTTAATATATATCAGATGAGATGAGAGCGTGTTGACCATATATATGAAAACTGTGTATTGGCAAACATGCTAATCTCCATGACAAAACAAAACAACCAGTTTCTGAATAGTAGAGAGGTAAAAAAAAAAACACTTCCATCAAAAGAGGGAAAATTAGAAACACCAATGCATTACCTAAATAACCATAGCCAAACATTTAAGGGTCACTTTATATATTACGTCATCAGATTTTATTGTCCGATTAACCTGCTTCATATCCATTTTCGTTTGTAACTCTTGTTTTTGCCACACTGCAAGAGCAACGGTAAAATGTGTTTTGTAGTGTTAACCCTCTGAAGGTTTTCAGGTTTGCCTGCACAGGCCAACCACGACGAGCAACGAGAGTCTGTCAGATTGGGTACATTCACATGGCCCATGCCTTGAGTTCTTCCATGTCATCCTCATCCTCCTCTTCTCTCTTTTTTTGGGCTGGAGAAACACAAATACATAGTTATAAAGGTTTCCACAGGGTAAACTTTCTATTAGTGTTAAAGACCATTAAAGTGATAATCCATTTTTCTTTAACCTACCAAAGTCCAATTTTACATTATTATCTCATATGTAAACTCTTGAAAGTAGGTTGTGAGATTAAAAAAAAACACTATGTTGGTATTATGTGAACAGCATGAAACGAACCAGCAGGTTTCTTGGGTAATGGATTTGAAGGCACACTGGGCAGAGGGACATCCTCGGTGCCACCGATTTCCAGCAGGTTCTTGTCCAGCTCCTCCTGTTCCAACTCCTCCAATTCAGCCAAGAGCTCATCCTAGAAAGGGCAAGAATCATATTGTTCAGTCAACATTTGTAAAAACTGCATTAGAAGAGAATGTTGCAGCAAACAGCAATGTGGGATACATCCAAATAAGACGCATTTCACGCGCTCCAAAAATATAAGTCCAGTTGGGAAAATACTTCTATTTGTACTGTTCTTATTGATGTTGAACTGGAAATCTGATTTCTTAAGAATTCGGTTCATCTTCATTTTACTTTAACATAAGCAACACTTGAGCTACATGAACTCTGCATGTTTGTGTAAAACCTGATGAATCATGTTTTCAACAAGATTTAAGATTCCTAACAAGTTCTGTTGAGGAACTTTGGAGACCATACTGAAAATATGGGATTTTTGATTTTTTTTCTAAAGGGGATTCAAATTCTTGAATGCTCCTCAGTGTGTATCAAACATCATCCAAGTTCGCTCTCTTTGTCTCGACTCACCTCATCACATTCTTCTCCAAAACCTACAGGCCTTGAAATGGCATCAGAAATCTCCTGTGCCAACTCCTGCTGCTCTGTGATGTCCTGCATGAGGTCGTCCACTTTGTCTATATCCCTAACACAATCAAAAACATCAAATCGATGTATATTTTTGCACATCACTAACTGCATTCTGTGATACAGATTCAATAGGAAATTTTACTCGGGTATCTTACATATTTTCATGGGCTGTCTTCATGGCCTTGGCTGCAAAGCCCATGTTTTTAAGCACTTCTGTGTTTGTATTAGCATTCTCCAATGCTTCTCGCTGGAACTCAATAGTGGAGAGAGTGCCATCTATCTGAGCCAGTTGCTTCTCATATCGCTTCTTTCTTTTCAGGGCCTGTAAAGCAGCTATCCAATGCTTACTCAATAGTGGAGAGAGTGCCATCTATCTGAGCCAGTTGCTTCTCATATCGCTTCTTTCGCTTCTTTCTCTGTAAAGCAGCTAAAAAAAAGGGATAACAAACATGCACAAAATCAGTTTCATATATATATATATATATATATATATATATATATATATTATACACACACTATAACTTAACTTTTTTTTTAAGTTAATCAACAAAGTTAACATTCAAGATTAAGACTGAACCATACACAAACAAGAGATTCCCAGCATGTGGGATGTTTCGTTATGGTAAACAATGCACTCGATTAAGTCAATGGCTGTTATTTCACAACACAACACATGACACTAATCAGACGTAACTAAGTGATATGAAACGCAATCCTTTATTTAGCCCAACTCTTGGATTTAGTTCCTTGACAGCAAGGATTTTAATTTTCGTATCCTACCTGGCATGGGTGTTATATTAATAAACTGACTTCATAGTTTCGATTATCAGTGAGTTTAAGGCAAGTGTCGCATGGGTGTAGCTCCCTAACTAACATCACTGAAATCGGCGAGAGAAGAGAGAAGCTTTCTTTTAAAAGTTATTTAAGACACCTATGGTCCTTATCACATGAAGGCTCGGTTTTAAATACATACCTCGTTTGTTTTTCGTGCCGTTTTTCTTTGCTGTTATTAGTTCCGCATTAATCTTTTGCTCCAAGTACTCTTGTTTCTTGGTTAACATCTCTTCTGTCTCGCGGAGTTTCTGGATCGCTTCTTGTGGGCTTGGGCCTTTGCCTCCTTTCCCCCCACCGCCAAACAATTTGCCGAATACAGACATATTGTTTTGTATTTTGCGAAACTAATAAATCCCTCCGAGTCGGTTTGTCTCTAGACACTACTGATATAAGCTCAGTCGCTGTTCCGCGTTCAGCTGTTGATCGTCTTACTTCCGCCTTCAGGCCCGCTGACGTCATGGACCGCGTCACGGGCATGCCACCTATCAACGCGCGGCTGCTGAGCAGCAAAACTACAACTCGTGACCAAACTAACGATTTAACACTTTTGTTTGATTATTTAGGCCACCCTTTTTAAACTCCAGATCTAGTTCGCGTTTTCTTTAGTGCCATAGAAAATGATTTAAGGAAACATTTGGGTTCACAAGAAAGAGGCCTTGGCCAAATTTAGGTCATGATCTAGTTAATGAAGAATGAAGATGTTCATGTTTAAGTGCAACTATTTAATAGAAAGCATATTTAAATATTGAAATCAATCAATCAATCAATCAAAATACAGCAAACAAGAATATTCAGCTAACTGCAGTTCCGCAGTTCATTTCTATGATTTATGGCATTAGCTTATCATAATCATTCATTGATGTGTATGAATTTGTTATACTGAAATTATCTATAGACATCTTTTTAATAAATGTCATGTTGTAATGTTTGCCAGAGAGTATCATGGACCTTTGTAAGATTGTTGTGTGCCACTGTGTCTGAGTGAATATGCAGGAGGTATGATGAGGTATGGGGGGGCTTTGTTCCAGATCAGTATTACAAGATCTATTATATATATATATATATATATATATATATATAACATTTTACAGAAACTATTGGCAAATTTAGGTCATGATCTAGTTAATGAAGAAATTCATATATATATATATATATATACATACACATACATATATAAAAAAATATATTTTTAACTATAACAACTTTTTCTAAGCTAATCAACGAAGTTAACATTCAAGATTAAGATTCAAGCATACTCAAGTGATTCCCAGCATGTGCGATGTTTAATTATGGTAAACAATGGACTCGATGAAGTCAATGGTTGTTATTTCACAACACACCACATGACACTAATCAGAAGTAACTAAGTGATAGGTAATACAATCCTTTATTAAACCCAACTCTTGACTTTTGTTCCTCGACAGCGAGGATTTTAACTTTCGTATCCATGCTATTCTACCCGACATAAGTCTTATATTAATAAAGTGACTCGACAGTTTCGATTATCTCTCAGTTTAAGGCAAGTGTCGCATGGGTGTAGCTCCCCAACCAACATCACAGAAACCGACGACAGGTGGGGCGAGGGGAGAGAGAAGCTGTCTTTTAAAAGTTATAGGACACACATATGATCCCGATCACATGAAGGCTCGGTTTTAAATACATACCTCGTTTGTTTTTCGTGCCGTTTTTCTTTGCTGTTATTAGTTCCGCATTAATCTTTTGCTCCAAGTACTCTTGTTTCTTGGTTAACATCTCTTCTGTCTCGCGGAGTTTCTGGACCGCTTCTTGTGGGCTTGGGCCTTTGCCTCCTTTCCCCCCACCGCCAAACAGTTTGCCGAATACGGACATATTGTTCTATATTACGCGAACCTAACAATAAATCCCTCCGAGTCGGTTTGTCTCTACACACTACTGATAAGCTCAGTCGCTGTTCCGCGTTCAGCTGTTGATCGTCTTACTTCCGCCTTCAGGCCGCTGACGTCACGGGCATGCCACCTATCAACGCGCAGCTGCTGAGCAGTACAACTACAACTCATGACCAAACTAATTACTTTTCCTTTTTTTGTTTGATTATTTAGGCCACCCTTTATGAAGTCTAACTCTAGTTCGTGTTTACTTTAGCGCCAAAGAAGATGTTTTAAATCAACTTAGCCTGTTGGATTTATGTACGTTTTAAGGAAACTTTTTGTTTTACAAGAGGCCTTGGCCAAATTTAGGTCATGATCTAGTCAATGAAGAATGAAGATATTCATGGTTAAGTGAAACTATTTAATAGAAAACATTTAAATACTGAAATACATAAATCTCTCAAAATACAGTAGGCAAGAATATCTCAATCCATAAAACGATTAAAAACGTTTAAAACTCTCTAAACGTCTGGCTACACGGATCGACCCCCCCAACGAAATGTAATTTAAGTAGCTTTACATGTTTTGGTGTTATTTAACTTTTATTTATTTATTTTATTTTGTATTATTATTGTTCTTGTGTTTATGATATGCTGCTTTGATTTATTGTTAATGTGTTTAACAATGGAATGCTTGTTATTTGAAGGTTTAATAGAGTAACAAAAAATGGCATTAGCTTATTATAATCATTCACTCATGTGTATGAATTTTGTTATACTGAAATTATCTATAGACATATTTTTAATAACTTTTATGTGTTGTAATGTTATTTGCCAGAGAGTATCATATTGTTAGGCCTGTCGCAATAATCAATATATCGACTTATCGCGCAATATATGTACATGACCGCAATAATTTTTGGTGACGCAATATATCGCCCATTATATTTACTTAAAAATTAAAGTCACCATGTTTTGTACATTACACTTGCGCCTGTGTCTTTTGCAGCTTCTCGTACATAACGTGGTGTAGTCATGAGGTGCTAGTTCAAATTTTAAAAATGCTTCTACAAAAACAAAAAAGTTTAATCTGCAGATATGGCCTTGTTTAGGGATCTGACGGACATCTGACTGCTGAGTAGTGATTGTGTTTTCCAGCAATAGTGTGCACCCTTAATTTACAGAGAAAAGAAGGTCAGGGAAACATCTGTAGATGGAAAAATCTCCATACAAGTTCTTTGCGCATTTTTCTTTTTTTCTACTTTCTAGAAAATGTTTATTTACTATTTATTCAGGTTTTTGTTAAGGTATCTAATATTTTGATACTTAATTTGCATGATCTAAATTTTCTTAAAAATTAAAAGTTTGTTGTCATTTGGAAGTGTGTAGGCCTTCTTGCATGATTATGCTGTTACATTATGATTATATATTCAGTGGCATACAATGATCTTTAAAATGATAATAATATCACTTATCGCAATTATTTCTGGGGCAATATATCGCACAACTAAAAGTTGTTATCGTGACAGGCCTACATATTGTAAGATTGTTCAGTGCCACTTTGTCTGAGTGATTATGCAGAAGGGATGAGTGCCGTTTTGTGTGGGTACAGTGCGAGTTTGTATTTAGAGAACAGGATGTAGAAAAAAAAACTTTGTTCCTAATCAGTATTACAAGAGTGACACACTCTCAAGTGTGTGCAAGACTTCATTTTCAGTAACCTACCTATTCTGCCGGTAAAATGTGTACACTCCATTATTTCATGCTTTCCCCATATTAGCCTACTTTTAGTAGCCTATAATTTTTGTATTTCAATAAATAAATAAGACGAAAGATTAACTTGCCTTTTTCTTGACTTTCTGGAAAAAAAAAAAAGCGAGAAATACATCAATTTTATAAAATGTTGCATACTTTGCACATTTCATTACAGTACGTTGTTCACTGACACCCCACACTCTGAAAAATGCTGGGTTAAATACAACCCAGTGCTGGGTAAAATAGGGACAAACCCAGCAATTGGGTTGTGTTGAAATGTTTAACCCAACCTTCTGGGTAGTAACCCAATTGCTGGGGTTGTCCCTATTTTACCCAGCACTGGGTTGTATTTAACCCAGCATTTTTCAGAGTGCATTTGCACTTCCTGTGTATTGTATTTCTCACCCTCCATATTGTTATGTGTATATCATGTATTTTGTGTGTTTCGTATGCTTATATTTATAACTATTTATTTTGTTACCTACTTGTTTAAACGATGTGTGGAATACTGTCAATCAATATACTGCTGAAATGATGCATGCATCTTCGACAGCTGGCGTTAGCAGTTTACTCAGGATCCATGCAATGATAGCATTGAAAGATTATCAGAAAGCCAAAAACAATGAAAGACGGTGCTTAATACATATCGATATTTAATGTAGCCTACTACAGCACAGTAACCACATCCTTGTTCCCCGTAGTTGATCTATTTTTTATTTATTTATCGTACTTAGCTAGTCATTTAAATAATCGCTGGACAGTGGGCGCTCACAAGAACTATTTTCTTACGCGGAACATCACGGAAAGGCAGTTCTCACTGATGAGTTTGAATTGATACGCAAAGGAGCGCGTTACAATACAGGTGTTCCTCGGTAATAATTAAACTGACACAAAATCAGTCCCAACGGGGTGGAGCCCGCTTGCAGCTACACTGAAGGAAATGCTTATGTGCTCCACATTACACCAGGTAACTGTAACTAACGTTGTTTCCTCAGAGGGGTTCATGTTTTAATAATACACTTTTAGCTAGCCTATTTTTAGTTTTTGCCCATCAGTCACAGTTGCTGGCGTGTGTGCCCAATAACGATTCACAGATAGGGTCTGTTCAAATATATAAATAACGCATATGCACGTGAAATTGAGCACGGAGCATCAAATCATGTTATGTTAATTTTCGCGTTTAGTTTGCATAATAAGGTGTTAGGGTCCCAATATTCAGCACCATTTAGCCGTACCATGGAACATTGTCCCTTCACTGTACGCAGCAATTGTTACGCTCTGAGTTTGGATCATGGCCTAATCCAGGGGTGTTTAATCAGGGTTGGAGCTAAATTCTTCAGGACACCGGCCCTCCAGGACCGAGTTTGGGCACCCCTGGCCTAATCCATGTCCGTGGTACTTGCCTCAATACCCAATAATCAGTCGTGACTTTACAATTGCTTTATGTGTGACTGGGGAACAATAAGAAAAGGACTAGTATGGTAAGATGGATAGATGAAGATGGTACAATTCTTCGCTGCAGTCATTGGGTGGGGATCCTTGACGTTTTGATGGTACGTAATGCCTGACATGATGTGTACTTCACTTTCATGGATGTTGCCAGTGAGACCCCTTACCTGATGTCCATCAGATCCCAGTTTCTGTGCGAACTTTAGCCTGGGTGAAAGATGCCTTTTGTTGAGGTGATGCTGCCAATGACCTTTGTATGGTGTTTCCACCAATGCAACACATCATCAGTTGTGTGAAATGAATTGAATCATCAGTTGAATGAATTTTAAAATAATTGAACTGAAAAGTCATTCAAGTGAGCTCAAGGGGATTCCTGTAGTATTTAATCTACTACAATATCGCACCTACTATTACAATTTTTGGTAACACTTCACAGTAAGATTCCATTTTGTTAACATTAACGAACTACATTTAGTTAACAAGAACTAACAATGAAAAATATTAATTTCAACGTTACTAATGCTAATGCATTATTAAAATCAAAAGTTGTATCTGTTCATATTATTTAATGGACATGAACTAACAATTAGCCTAACAGTTGTATTTTTATTAATTAAAAAATGTGTCGTATGTATTGCTAATTGTTAAAGTTTAACTAAGAGGGCCTTGAATGTATTGGTAGTTGTCAGTTAAAGTTTAACGAAGACGTCCTTGAAAGTGGGGAAAAATATATATATTTTTTTTCGTACTGCAGTTTCTCTGATCATAAGTTACTCTTTTGCAGAGTGCTTCTGAAGGATGAATAGCAGTGGACCAGCATACCCATTAGCCTCTCTCTATGTCGGTGACCTTCATCCTGATGTCACTGAGGCCATGCTGTACCAGAAGTTTTCTCCTGCTGGTCAGATCATGTCCATCCGTGTGTGCCGTGATGTCATTACACGGAGATCCCTCGGATATGCTTACATCAACTTCCAGCAGCCTGCTGATGGTGAGCACACTCTTACTAGGGTGTTGTGAATTGAACTGAGAATGCTTTTTAATTGAAGAAAGAACTGTGATTTGAATTCAAGTAGAATTCAGATGAAATATACATTTTAATAATGAATTACCCAAACTCTAATGACTACTCTAAATGATTATAGCACTTCTTGAAATAGTGAATCTCACTTTTTTTTCTTTTTCTTTCTACATCGAAGCGGAATGTGCCCTTGACACCATGAACTATGAAGTCATCAAGGGTCATCCAATCAGGATCATGTGGTCTCAACGAGATCCAGGTCTGAGAAAGTCTGGTGTGGGAAACATTTTCATCAAGAACATGGATGAGTCTATTGACAACAAGGCTCTCTATGACACCTTTTCTGCCTTTGGTAACATCTTGTCATGTAAGGTACATCCTTTTTCAGTACTGTGACTTTTAATGATTATTAAAATATCTTAAAGGCAGCTTTATCCAAGTTGATTTAAATAATTTACAAAGAAAGTAACTAATGCATTTTTCATTCTAGGTGGTTTGTGATGAGAATGGCTCAAAGGGTTATGGGTTTGTGCACTTTGAGACCCAAGAAGCAGCCAACAGAGCCATTGAGACCATGAACGGCATGCTTCTGAACGACCGCAAAGTGTAAGTATTGACACCAGTGGTTCTCAACCAGGGGCCTGAGGAACACTATAGGATCTGAGCAAAAGGATTTAATGGATACAATAGTATGTATATATAATCTAATCAAAATGCTAGAAAAAAAACGCGCACAAAATCAAGGCGTAAACTGAATCATGAATCATGAACTTTAGTTTTTTTATCGAAGAACATACAGTTCTTTAATATAGAACATAACTTTTGGAATTATGAAGTGAAACATAGTTAATTATATAAAATTACTTAACCATGTTAATTTAATATAGGCCTGTCAATAAAAAAAAGTTTGAAAATGAGCAGCTTTGTCATAATTATAACAGGAATATCACAAATATCTTGGTGTATGTGGGATATATCAAACATTTTGTTGGATAACGGTGGGCCTTCAAGTGAAAAAAGCTGAAAACTGATTTTCTACAGGGTTTTCTGATAATATTTTGTTAAAGGGGTCATATGATGCGATTTCAATTTTTCCTTTCTCTTTGGAGTGTTACAAGCTCTTGGTGCATAAAGAAGATCTGTAAAGTTGCAAAGACTAAAGTCTCAAATCCAAAGAGATATTCTTTATAAAAGTTAAGAGTCAGCCACGCCTACCTAAAACGGCTCGTTCTAACACTCCCCCACATATCTACATCACTATGTGGGAAGATTTGCATAACGCCGCCCAAATGTTCATGCAAAGAAAGAAGGCGTAACTTTTATTCTCGCTGTAGTATTGTTGCCGCTTTCCGCCATGTCCTGAAGACGCTGTGTGCTTCGTTGTGAAAGCGAAACTACTTTGTTTGGTCTTCCAAAAGAGGACGATATCC